ATAGACTACCGGGTCTAATCGGAACCATCCGCCGAACCACCTGCACACAATCGGGAAACCAGGGGCGTTTAACATGTGGCCGAATGTTGTGCATTCACTGTCATTAGCCAGTGTGGGCCAGGAGGAATGAGTGACAAGACACAAGCCGTATTAAGCATGATGATATTATAAGAAGCGCCGACGCAATCCACTTGCTTAGCATAAATGTAACGACATCACCTGTCAGTCCCTTTGTTTCAATACCACATGTTCCCATACACAGATATATACATACGTACTTCACATCAGCATATGCCACAGAATACGATCTGTGAATACATTGCATTTTCTACTGGTCATGCTTCGCAGCACAAAAGTTGAAGGCATTCACCGACGCGAGAAATATACACATTTGAAAATCAATTTGGTTTTCACGAGAGACTCAACTGAATCTCTTATTTATGATACTCTTCAACTGAATGTGCTGCACACAGGAGCCTCATGTACAGTTGGCATATCTCGAATATCATGCCAAATGAATCATGAGGCGGCCTGTGTGCAGCACATTCAGTTGTAGAATATCATAAATGAGAGATTCAGTTGAGTCTCTCGTGAAAACCAAATTGATTTGCCAATGAGTGTATTTCTCGAAAACAGTCCAATTCGGGTTCTAGTAAAACATAAGTTTGACGGAAACTCGTGAACTGCGCCTACCTGATGAGCCCCAAGAAGGGCGAAACCGGTCGTGGGCTGTTGAAGAGTTTTCAGCAACCTTGTGAGTAGTTTCCTTTACGAAAAATTTCACCAACTGCTTTGTTCCAAATGAACTGTACGTAGCAGTCATTTAGGGCGTATTTCCGAAGTTTGCACTTCGGCTTAGATATGAGTTACACTTAATGGTGTATTAGAAAGCTGCCACTATTGTGAAGACAATGTTTTATCGCGTTTTCATACAAACGCTTGAGTGAGCAGCTCGGATCCCTCTTGAACAATGACATAAACAGGAGATTCGATCGAATTTCAGTTACTCCTTATTGTGCGTTCAAAGAAAACAAAGCTCGGTTGGAAATGAAGGAACGCGCCCAAAGAAGAGGAAAACAGACAATGAGCTGTGTAAACGTTTACAGATGTGCGCTTATCGCTACCACATTATTATAGAGTAGGTTCTCCTCCGACCAACAGGTCTATTCTATCTCAAATTAAACACCCAGATTTTCAGAAACTCCTTCGTGCCTGTGTGTGTATATACATTTGCTGTTTCTGAGTGAGACTTATGAATCTCAGTTGTTACCTGCGAATTTAAATGTCCAACTAGATAGCCCACTTTGTGCTTGTCGTTTCTTAGCAGAAATTTAACTCTATCAAAATGAAAATAAAATTGTTCGAGTCAAGCAAAACAAGTTGTTAGTACATTCAGTAAAATTGAGTCGACTCACGGTAAATATTGCTCCTCGCCTTATATTCTGTAACCAATAATCAAAATATTCTCCAATAGAAGCAAGCACTCGCAGGTTTTCGAACAAGAAGCCGCTAAAATCCTGTAGAATACCAAGGACTGGTGAGAGGGAATTCATGTACAAGTTGTTACAAAACTCCTCGGCCCACTTGAAGATCGTCCATCGAGTGCTGCCAAATGCTTCTGTAAAGCAATCACCAAAAGGATCCTTGCGTTTACTGGTGTATTTAATTAATTGTCATCGAACACAAAGCTACCATCGTACCAAATGAAAAATCAGGTGGCCTTTGTGCGGCACATTTAGTTGAAGAATATCATAAATGATAGATTCATAGAATCTCCCGTGAGAACCAGATACGCCACCATCAGTACAAGCTTTTGTTCAGAATCCATATAGCTTACCTCTGACCTACGATCAAAATTGAGGAATTATCTCATACGGGTTTTACTCTTCACAAACGTTCTCTGACCAAAACATCGATGTGGTTTCTGTTTCAATGAAATATCTAGCAGTTGTCTCATCAGCAACACAAATGATAACTGCTTTTACTACTACTGATTAGTAAGAATGCAAATCGGTGGAAATCCCTTTTTATCTAAGCTTGAAAACCCACTGTCCTGTTCAGCCCTACCCCTGCGTTCTACTGCCACGATATTCCTGGTGAAATAAAGTATGCATAAACAGAGCTTGACCATGAGGATTCATCGATTCTGATAACAGGTTTATTTCTGAAGATAAACGTTCGCAGCAAACTGTTTCACGAGATTGTGGGTATGGTAGACTAACATCCGTGTCTGAGTGTAACTGAACAATACATCCCATTGATGGAGCATCACGCATTACAGAAAATGTCACAAGTAGATTGGGGTGAACAACATATGCAGACAAGCGAACTTACTCCACCCGGTGCCAACCCCTAGGCAGTCATACAGGAGGCGAACGGAAGGCAGTACTAAGGCCATCTGTGTGCTCAGATGATGGCCGTAAGTGGAAACACGCGTGAAGACATCTAGAAATAGGAGACCCCCACTGTATGGGACAGTCGGGCCGGTGACTCGCATCAATCATTAGACGTGCGTGTGGGATGCTGGCCACAGTTAGTGATCAGAGAGCTTTGCTCAACGGTCATCATAGAAAGTTATTCCTAACACCGTTGTGGGTTTCGAATTCCGGAATATTCAGATTGTCACGTAGGTCAAATTTATGAAATCTTAAGAAACAGTAAACCTTTTTCGTGCAATGGGGAATAAACCACAATACAATTCAGTCAATTCAGATAACAAAGTTGATACTGACAAACCAGCAAACGAAACCTAAAGTTTGGAGTAGCAAACCACGTGGTAGTTTTACAGGCTTGTTTTCCCAAAAAGGCCTTCGCAGTACGACATGCCCTTAAAGTTGTGCGTATACTGCAATGACTATATTTGGCTTCTAGCAGGAGGATGAAGTCATACGGGAAACTGTTGAAGGTTTTTCCCGAAAATTGCGGTAGCCGACAGAGTGGTGTGAAATTTCAGAGATTCCACTGAGGATAAAATATTCACTGTTCAGTGGTGGTCGAAGTGTCTCATTAACTGAACGGTAAGTAGGAACAAAGTCAAGTTAAATAACAAATACGAGTGCTTCCCGCAGACGAATGGTCGTGCAAAGACTCACAGGACTGCTGATTCGATTTATGATCACATAATTATCCCAAATAGAGGAAAACCGTCCCCTGAGGCTTAACTCTACAAGTCAAATCACAATGGCCGCATTTTATCGGTCTGAAGACAGAAATGTTCTGTTTTTTGGTGGCATTCCACTATAGTTCTATGCATGTTGAACACAGTTTGTCACCTTGCATGGTCCCCATTTGCTTAATGAGCTGCTTCATTGCTCAAAACGGTAAAGTTTTTTTATTCATGTTATGCTGATTTTATTCCCCAGCCTTGTGTTGGAGACTGTTGCCGTAAATATGATTTTGTTTGTCGGAACCGATGTTTTCCCTAGGCTGTCAGCATCGAAGTCTGTAACATTATCAATTCAACGTGTATACACAATGGATGCCGCCGCATATCTGCCAAATCTCATGTTTTCATTAAAGTTTTACCCTGTAAGTAAAGTGAATTTTGAATAGCGAAATCGTGCAGCTGTTTCATCCTTGTTGGGAATCATCAGCATTTTGTATCTCACAAAATCTCAGGAGATTTCGAACCTGCATTCTCTCGGCTGATAGTTGAGCGGTTAACCTCTAGCCACAACCGGCTGACACCTAGACAGGATTCAGTGCCACTCATCTTTCTGTCGTGGAATCTGTATCACGTGGTCACTCGTGCTGATTGGTTCCTAGAGTGATGGCCTGTCAGATGGAAAGTGTACTCCGTATGTGAATTTAGTTCACTAAATTATTTAGAGGCAATTGTTAATGTGAGGATATTCAAAAATTTCGTAGTTACCGGTCAAAGTGTTCCCCGCCCTTCTTCTATGGACATGCGCGTGTGCACTACATTTGCAACGGACTAGCCAAAACATTAAATCAAATGCACGACTGAATTTAAGATGAAAAAAAATTCAAATGCCTCTTTAACAGGACGAATCTGTGATGTAAATCAAACGCAGTGATATATTCGAATATGGCAGGATGTTTCCACAAGCACCGGTACTCTGCATCCTCTCTGAGCAACAGCTAATCGCTAGGGAATGTTTGGAGATACTTCATGTTATGTCACACCATGTAGTGCCCTAGATATCTTCTCCTGGATAGTCACAAACTTTGGTCTCATTGGATAAAATGAGATTCATGCCACAGGAGCGTCTACGTTGGCTGTACAGTGATCTTCTGAATTTAGTCTCTCGAGATACTTGAGAATTTCCGAGAGTTGCATATGTGAGCTTGCTGATGAGACAGAGTGTCTCATTTGTAGGAAAATTAACAACCTGAAACTCCAAATTTTGATCGTATGTGAATCGTGAACAGGACAAGTCATCTGCGAAAACCGGAAATCTTCTAGTCAGACAAGGGCATTTTGCTACGTGTTTGAAGTTGGTCGAAAATTCAAGCTTGCGCTGCACGGTCGAACTCGCTGTGAGCGTACCCACTAAAATCAAATAAACTGAGACTGTATGCAATCACGGCCATCCGAATATAGACTACGTGAACTTGCGTTCATATGGTCGGGTGTCGGCCACTCTTCTGATTGAAAATAAACCCGAAACACTATGTAGAATGATCTATTAATCATTTGTATCCAGAAATTACTATTACACGACCGGATGTTCCTACACTACTGGTCGCAACTTTGTTCTCCGTATTACTGTGTTCCGCGTTCCTTCACCTGTCTCGTCTAGATTTCGCAGTATCAGAGACCAGTCATTCAAAGACTTCCCTCAGCGCTTGACTCCATGAACTTTCTGAGTAATCCTAGTATGAATTATACAGTCAAAATTCTTCTATTTTGTCACCGATGGTTTCTCATTTTACCACGGAAATCGTTATCAAGATCCTTCATGATAATGATTGTGGAACGGTTATACTCAACCCAAATTGTTTTGGAGACAACGCCAACTTTTCCCAAGCATTTTACCATGTATTTATGAGAATACTAACTGAAACATAGCTATGTAATCCACCAAATGCAACGCACAAAATAAGTTACAATGGTTTAGTTATGTGCAGGCCGTGCTATTCTACCGTTCACCAGCAAGATTATCTTCAGTTACGATAAAATGAAAGAACACAAACTGTGGGTTCGGTAAATAAAGAAAACATGGGGGGTCATGGGGCAGCTTGTAAATGCACGCAAACTGTGCATCTGGCGGTAGCTGCTGAAAGGACTCAGTTAGTTTGATGCTTTTATTCAAACTGTGGCTGTGGGTTGTCGTTACATTACAGAACCTAAACATCAGGATGACCACGCAAAGATGAGGAACTTTTCTATCCAAATCATTCAGAATTTTATAAAAATTGTTCTCATCAAAAATATGGTTAATGTATACACTACTGACGGGGATAATAATGATAAATGTTACAACTTCCAACAGTGGAAGACCTCATCTACCAGCATAATGCCATGAAAAATGAAAGCTTATTATAGTTCGGCGAGTGCATCAACGAATTTCCTCCAGATTTATGTCGTGAACCACAAGAGTAGCAAGATGCTACTTGAGAGTAGTGACTAAATGGAAACAGGCTGTACAACTGGTATTCAACTGCCGATAGTACGTCCAGACATGGTGACCTCAGTATACGAATGCACAAAACTTAGGATTATGTTGCCCACGCACTCCATTAGAAACATAGTGGTTGCGGTTACAAACTGAAAGTTCAGTCGTGTTGGCTAGCATCTTTTTCCTTCTTTCGAAGATAATAGAGAAGTAAATAAGTTTGATCCCACCGTTTTTCACCGAAATCTTTTAACTCAAACACAGCTATTCTTTGCTGGAGCGATTGTTTTTGGGAATTATTTGTTTATATTTTTGTGCCATTGAGGTTGCTCTGCGCGATCTGCCTTAGAATATATATTATGCGATCTGTTGCCCTAGACGGCAAATCTGTGTTTTCGAAATAAGGAGGCGAGATTATTACGGTGTTCGGTCCTAAACAATAAATTTCTCGGCAAGAATTTACAGTGGATCCAGGGTCGAAAATAATATCATGAACGCTGTATATGATCAATGCATTTTCCGTAGATGTTTTGTGGGAAAATACTGATTAGTTTTTTTTAGAATGCAGTAAAATTCAATGTACATCTTGCCGGATTTTGTCTGTGAAAGTAGAAACCAAGTCGTACACATGCGCACCTTTTCTCCATCGTGAACATAAATGAGTTGCGAGTTTCCGTATCAGAATATTAGAAATTCTGCATAAGAGCCTTCAAGGTCGTCCGATGCCTAGGTCGCCGCCATTTCCGACTTTAATGGTGATTCTATATATATATATATATATATATATATATATATATATATATCGTGTAGTGGTTTTAAGCTCGTCATTCTTATGGATGTGTGGTATTTAATAAACTGTGATCCGTCGGTTAGAGTGGGAGAAAAATTGCTGCAAAAATCCACAAATTTGTTTGCATTCAGAGGAATAATACAGACCATCAGTCAACTAAACTGCCCTTAAGTAGGGTCGGCCTGAATCTTGCAGGCGAAAGCGCGTTGGTTGAAGTAAGTATAGCCAGTTATATACATTTGCAAAGCTTAAACTCAAGAATCTACAACTCACCTAGAGGAGCCGACACTAAGAAGAAAAGGTAATGACGAAGTTCGTTAGCCTTCTGAAGGGTTTGGTTTGTTTCTCTCAGTAAAGCAGTTAACGTGCGTTTCAGGGACTCGTATTGACGGCCAGCTAGTTCTTCCTGCATTTTGGTGAATGGAAAAAATGACAAGCAAACATTTTCATTTGGTGATACAAAACACATCACTAACACATTTTAACCTGTCTTAATGCAAACAGTCACTACTGAGGTATTGGAGTTTTGTTGCGATTATAACGATTACACCGTTGCTCCGTTCATTTACCACAAATTGAACTCGCCAAATATATGCACATGCCCATATTTTCCAATGGATTATCAGCAACATATATCAAATAAAACTGGAGTGTAGTTTTATTCCAGCATCAGAGTCATATTCAACATTTCCGATTGTACTGGTGAATATAAGGATTCACAACTCCAGAACATTTGAACTGGAGGCGTCTCTTTCATGTTCCAGAGAAAATGGCATTTTGGAGATGGTGTAATATATCGCGTACCTGACTGCAGTCAGGTCGCTGCATACTCTTAAATGCTTCCAAGCACTGGCTATTAGGAAAGCGAATGTGATCTGAGCCACAATAAACATTCCAGTACTGTATACAAATCAGGTTGGGGACAGCATTCAAAGATATTCGATAGGGAAGTGCCATAATGGTGATTTCGGAAGAATAATTTAGTAAAAAATGCTATTTATCTGGGATGTTAGATAAATCTACGCGACGATTTTGCAAACAGAAGTCATTAAGCATGGGAGTCATCAACGTCCATGCTTCCGTTTGCTCGTCAAATAAAATGAATGTTTTATAGGACATTTAGTGGAAGATATGTGAAGCAAACTTTAACATAGGTACACAATACTGCCAAGTGTGAACCAAGGTAGACCACAACAACCTGAATACACCGATATATTGGTTACCCTGTAGTGAATGTACATCTAGAGCATGCAGAACACACTTCCTCCCAAACACTTTGAGCCGGTAGCCCTTGGGCGTCCATAACGGCAACCGAGACCATTTCACATGCTCGGGAGGGACACAACCAAACAAGTGGGAGGAGATCGACTGATTAGTTGCAATCCAATCAACACATCTAGCAAACTAAGGAAGCGGGAAAATTGGCACCCTCTTTAAGACCACAGACGGAACAGATTAACTCATCTGATCAATATCAATTAGGCACTTGCACTACGGTTCAAAGAAACAGTGAGTTGCTGCACTGTCTTAAACCGGGCAGACCGTGGAAAGATTTGGTAGGTGTTATTGGGTTCCACTCTAGGCTAATCCTGATCACGACGCTATCGCAGCACAAGATTTACCAAATACATCCTTCAAATTCGGTAGTCTGGTTTGACAGACTGATATCCAGAGTATTCAAAAAGCTCATTTAAGTGCAGTAACTAAATATTTGTTGACAAGGGAGTTTCAATTCCCTTAGCATAATTCTGAGTTGTCTCTGAGTGATCTAAGTGATCTTTCATTGATGTGGACACCAAAAACCTACCTTCGTTTGGCCTGCATTGACAAGTCAATCGGTAAGCTTAGTGAACAGATCGTCAGTCATATCATGGGATGTGAGTGATGACGTGAACGATAAATTAACAGATCTTAATATATTTGGGTGTTTACAACATAAAGATACCTGCTATATGGCATAAGGGGGCCACGGAGAAGCCTCCAGGGGGGTAACCAAATAAAATAACCGACTAGATAGTTCATTAATGCTGACGAGAGCTTGTGAGTGAACCAACCTGCGTAAACAACGAAATATATAAGTCGCCTGGCAGGTGTACAACTATCTATCATAAATGCTTAAATGAAATGCAGCATTCACTTTTCGCTGCCCTGTATTTAAGACATGGAAACGAACTGAATGAGACCTGTTGAGTCAAATTATTCATATGTTTTAATACCATTTTGCTATATCACATCTAGGCCGCCGTAGTACGCAATATTCAGCTCATAATCTTTATCAACTGGATGCCCATAGATTTAAAAAATACCATCTATTCAAAGCATGCTAGATCCACTGCTCTGCCGATAGAAACATTTGTAGGACTGAAACATTAACTGCTAGTCTTGATTTCAGATTTGATATGTCTGTGCAAAAGTTGTATCTTACTTTATGGCTCATAATGCTAATTCAAAATTAGACAATCATTTGTTATTTCACTTGGTACTGTTGCGGAATACAGATAGCTTGGGGGCGCTGCTTAGTTATTGGTCTGTTCGTCTAGCTTGGCAATTGGATTGCAAACATTTCATCACCAATCGAGGTGACATCGTCAGTGAGGAGTTGAGTTTGTTAGGTTATAGAGAACGGGGTAAAAGGCATTACTCTAAGAATTCAGTTAGAAGTCGATAAACACGACGAAATATGTTGGATATGCTAAATTCAGCCCACGATTCCGCGGCCTATCCACATTTCTCCAGTTCATCTGCATCAGAAGAGTTCAAAGAGGACCCGTAACGGAAGAATCTTGCATTTTAAGAAGTAAGCATGAAGTGAGCATGTCGTTCAGACACAAACAACTCAAAAGCAACATGGTAGGCTGCCTTACGTAATAATATGAAGGAAGGAAATTAGTTTCATCTGTAATAAGTTTACTCAGTCAAATGATCAATTTGCTTCCAAGTTGACATAATCGTCACGTAGCACTTACCATCAGAGGCACAATGCGATCCGTCAGCCAACGGGTCGGCGAAGCCATTACACTCCTTGCATGTTTGAAGGCGTCAGATACCTCACCGAAAGCTTCTGTGATATTATATTCGAATTCAGTTATATTCAGCAACGACAACCGTGAAATCAGTGGCAGGTCCAGTGTGTGCAGATAAAAAGTATCTTTTTCAAGCCACTCCTTGAGTGTGTCAGGAACTGTTTGAAAATCTTCAACCAGTGTGTTCTTTATCGCCTCTATTAGTTGCCAGTCTATTGCTTTTGAGAGGAAATAGTCGTAAATGTGATCAAATGCTTCCGTAATAAAACCAATGGTGGGTTGGACAGCTGCTTCCAGCAACCGTTCCACGTTAGGCCCGTGCATCAGTTCTGTGCCGTTAGTCTGTGGAGAGACCAGAAGTTCAAAATCCTTAGTTTTTCGAGCCGCAGAAATTTATTGTTTCACTAGAAAATATTTGAAACAGCTAACATCATCGGAGTCCACAGTGGGCTTGTTAGCGAAGCTGAACTAATTAACTACACACATCAAGTCGTAAAACGTTCTGTGGAATGGTAGCTCACTAAAAGATTTTCCTGGATCTGGTTAATGGACATTGGATTCATAAAAAATAATAGCCAACTGATACCACATGGACCTTGTTGGACGGAATGACCGGCCGATCTTATACGTGAAACTCATACACTTTGAGCTCTCTCTAGACAAATGACCACGAGAAAATGTTGGCAGAGTGTGTCGAAGTTGTTCCATGCCAGTTCATCAAGGCTGCACAATCACGATCATAAGTTGACTGGTATCAAGAATAGATGGATAGGTTGATTGCGATGGGGTTAATCGGGCCGATACTGCTTGAATCTAGACAACTGAGGAACGCTGAACTCTTCGTGAACAGCTGGTCAAGTTTAGATAAAAATAAACTTGAATTTAGACTGTCCGGCGAAAACGGTCATGGGCCGTCGACGAATTTCCAGCAACCTTATTAGTAGTGCATCACGAATACACATGAATCGCGATATCCCGAATATCGTAGCAACAAACATGAGGTGACCTGGTGCAGTACATTCAGTTGCTTGGAAACATCACAAACGAGAGATTCAGCTGAGTTCCAGGTGAGTCTCTCGCAAAACCATATTAGTTTGCAAATGAGTGTATCTCGCTAATTTCGTGTAATTTGGTTTCAAGTGGAACATAGGGTTAACGGAAACTCGGGGACCGCGCCTACCTGACGAGCCCCAAGGAGGGTCAAATCGGTCGTGGGCTGTCGATGAATTTTTAACAACCTTATAAGCAGTGCATTGGACTGTCCTAGTTTCTGAATTCAAGGAATAGAAAGGCTTTGTAACGGTATTGGCAATGTTGGCGCATAAAAATTACGAGAAACTGTGAGCCCATTCCGCTCGCCTTTGTAATACAGTGAACATAAATGAGTATCACTTGCGATTAGGGATAACAAGTGTAACCTGCCTCCCATGGAATGTTTTTTATCCCATTTTCTCACCACCGTATAATCGTCGGTGGTACACAGATTGTAAATACCAGGGCGAAGAAAATATATAGTTAACCAAAAAGCTGAGGAAGTAATGTAAGCCGGTTCTAAATCCCCAGAGAATGCAGCATTTGTTGTTTTCGGACAAATCTGCAGGTCGTCTTTGGGGTACAAAATCATCTGTAGGGTAGTTTAAACATTCTCATGAACGGTACCCACCAAAAGCTTAGTAACAAGTGAAATCTAGCTACAGATTGAGACCCTGGCCACTGATAGCAGTTCCCTGAAAACCACTGAAAACCGTGCGCACTGAGAAACTCATGGGCATCAGTCAGAACCCCGAGAAAACCTCACAGTGTTCCTTTTGCTAGCAACTGTTTAATTGCGAGCCACTTGGTTGCACCCTATCCAACATAATCCTTTTCAAAGTGAATGAACTGAAGAACAACGGTCACTTTAATGGTATTCTGATCACGTAAATCTGAAGACAGCGTTATACACATGGAATACTAGACCGTTCTGGTTCCAAAGCTTACCACGCATGCTGATCGTGAACATACACTATGCTGCTCAGAAATTCGAAGCAATGAAGGGAAGCTAACAACGAGTCCTCTTCTTAGACAGAACCCTAAGTTATGGTCTTTGTCGTGTGTTTCGCAGGTTGGGCAGTGCGATAATTTGAGGATAGTGACGTATGTAGGAATATAAGTGATCTCTCGCACCACTTTTTAGGCACTGAACTGGAACATCTTCCATGGCCGGTTGTAAGCTACCGACTACCCAGCCTAGATCAGCTTAGAATCTACTGATCGTTCTCAAAACCACTTTGGTTTTGCTACTGTATAGCCCACTGTGCATGGAATAAATTACATGGCACAGACTTTAAGGTTCGTAACCAGCAACGAATAGTGTTTATTAAGCCTAAAATAAAGGTTTCCGCTGGTTTAAAAGTGAACTGATCCCCTGTTAGTCTTGACATAACTAGTTAGTTGTCTATTTCAATGATTATTCTTTAAAGTCTTCCTCCTCAGAACTTCATTTGCTCTTTAGTGCCAATAGAATTGGTAGGCTTGTTTGACCCCAAAGAAACTGTTTTACACATTAGGTAAAGCATTGTTAGTTGGGGTAACTCCATCGTGACATGTAACTTAGTAAAAAACAACTTAGCGTACATAAGTGGTGCTGTCACGAACCATAAACTACAAGCATCACATCGAAAGAGTCTTGCTGATGACCTATTGATCCTATGGTTTGATCCTCAAATTGCGCAAGCGACTTGAGCGATTATCATTAGCAAGATATTTGATATTAACGGCTAGGTCCATTCGTCCTGGTGTCAAGGCATGAGGTAACGCATGAGCATTGGAAATTTTTAAAAATCAATAGGAAATGAAGGCCTAAGCGGGTCCACACTCAAGGCTACCATAACAATTTCGTGATACACAGCTCATCTACACTCACCAGGGCTTCCTTGAAGAAAGTCGGGCGCCAGTGTAAACTGATGTACAACATATTGTCCGGATCAACGTAGACACGAAATACGGCGTCACGCTGGTTGAAAACTGGAGATGAATTGTGTTTCACCTCCAGTATGTGTTCAGTACCCTGGCTTTTTCCAACTAAGCACACCACTGAAATAATATCAAGTAAACAAAAATTGACGTGTGATTCCAAATAGTAGAAATGGCTTCATGAATGTGTGAAAAAATTTATATTGTGGTATGCAATTGAAAATTCAGCAAAATACACAAACTTTTAAAACAGTGATCGGTAGAAAGGACCAAAAAATATAAATGGCCCGGTAAAAATATTTGGTCCACTGACATTCTAACATCTTGTCCAGGATCAAGTGTAAGTGTGTTTTATTCAAACCATACCATCATCAATCAGTGATGGTTGGTATTTGCCCTCTCATATCTTAAACTGTAAACATGTAGTAAGGCTTATGAAAACTACAGTCAGCAAACGGTGAAGGTCTGGCAGATGACTTTCTGGGATGAAGCTTACCTCCGTGGTTGGAGAGAACCGCTGGATAGCATAGGCTTGTGGGTATTGTAGTAAAAGTACAACAATGAAGGGGAAGATGACGTCAGATATAATCAGGTATTGGTTAACCGAAATCAGGTCTGCGGAAGTGGTATTGGCGATTCAAAGTTCAAAGCTTCCACTTGTTCCTCATTTTAGCAGAGGATCCCATATTTGAATATGGATCCATTCAGCTGTTTAAAGTGTTCGTTAGTGGATAGCCTATGAATGATTTTATATGGTCCTAGGTAGACTGCGCCAGTTGATTAAACCAGACGGACCGGTGATATATATCAATCCGGTGACTGGAGTTAAAGCCCGAAACTTGTCTGTCTGCCCCAGCTGTTCAGCAATTTGATAGATGATTCTTGAATCTTTGATGTAGCCGCATGGTCTTTCAACCCACTATTTTGCCGGAACTTACACATGCAACCGAATATATAACGCCGATGGAATAATGGAACAGGACTTTTTTCTTGAGAATTGTATTGCGCAGCCGAACACTTTGGAAGTGTTCGTCTAGCTGTGCTGAATTGAGTCTCTGATTTCGGAAGGGAAGCAGTGAGCATTTCACATTCCTCAAAGTTCAGACACTTTTAATTGACAGCCGAATCTACTGGAGCTTTTTGTTGATGGACACCGACTTAAAAGCCCCCCATATAGACTACTTTGCGTAACCATTAAATAGCAAAATTTCACAGGTGTACCGCGACTCACCATCCAGTTTACCACTTGTTCAGACGCTAGGGGACCTATGGTTTAGACATCCCATTAAGTTCTGTATTTCACTTAAGCAGAGTTCTGAAGAGTTATGCCTGAGTAGACAACTCAGGTTTCCTGTACACCTGCGTGCGAAGTGATCCTTGGCTGTTACCAGTTGATGCAGTATTAGGAAACTGAAGTTATTTTTTGGAATCCTCTTCCTCGGTGACACCTAATTTAGGAAGTGCAGTGCCAGATTATAATTATATAATCATGGTCGTGGAGCACCAGCATATCTTTTGTAACGTGACTGTTCTTTCACGGTTGGTCCCAAATATCATATCAATACTTGCTCTTGAAAATATTCGCTGAGACTGGACTTAGCGGTACACTGATGTATATCGGTTTCACGCTGACATTCAGTGGCATGTCCTTTCATACAATGTCTGGCAATTTAACATAATTCTCTCGATGAAAAGCTATTGAAACTGATACTTGGGAACTTATCGCTCTAATGTAAATTGGGATACTCAAACTACACAGTTTATATATATATATATATATATATATATATATATATATATATATACCAATGCTGGTAACTATTATTCCACCATCAAGTAGCCTCAGCAGATCTGCGCATGTTTCGTCACTCATCTCATATCATCAGGATTACATCACGTGACTCCACACAGACCATTTGTGATTCCGGTTGCATGTGCAGACATATCGCTGATCAACAGTTACTGATCAAAATGTGTTTTGAGAACGCTCTGAAGCATTTTAAAGGGCGAATCTACTGCAGTGGGAAACCTTCTGATGGGAAAGCAACTCCAGTCGGACCATTTGAGACCAGTGCCTCCGGTGAAGTCAAAAATAAAGTTACAAATCGGAAATGTGCGAAATATTACTACCGTAATAACCATTAGATAAGAGTGGAAAACTGTGACTTCCACTGTGAATTGTGCTGGTCCTGCTACAAGATAGAGAGATCTGAATAGCTGGTCCTTACTCATTGGTAGCTCCAAGAAGCATCGATAAGTCCTAGTGCTGCGAAAGCTTCTGAAGCATGAGTCCCTAGTTCAGTCCCCGCCGTGTGGATTGCCCAGTTTCTGGACAAACGTCCTGTTGGGATTGGCTCTGTGTCACCAACACAATTATCTGTCAATCCGTTGAACGACAGTTTTGGTTACCACTTTGTAATCCTTACCTGGCTGACAGGCCCAAGGGTGGTTTGCCCCGTCATCACCGTACAACTATGTTCATCATTATCGTGCAGGATACCTTCAGAAACATATGTACAGCACTACATCATGAAAGCTCTGTGTCAGCCTGAAAAATAAAGAAACTTGCGCTTGGTACCGCTGCATGAATCGTGAATGATGGACGTACGTGTAGGTTCTGGTGAAATCTTTCATCCTTAGTAGTGTTTTAGAAATGGGTTTCCACCAAGCTGAGATAGATTTTGATTCGGTATGGTTGTCTCCATCTCCTGGTGGAACAGAAAGACCAGTTGATTTGGTTCGTGAAGATATGATATTTCCGATAACTGACTGCTTGTTCACAGGTATGGTGCTTGTGCATTTTCCCCATAGTTACATATATTTTTGGAAAGCATTTTGAAGTAGGTCACAGGGGTCCTTGAATTATTACGCTGAGGATATTCAGTTTTACAAGACACTGACAGAGTAAAATACTGCACTAAAGTCAATGCAATATTCACAACTGAGTCTACTCAAAGAACGTCCCGTCCAGACGCTATGGAAGAGGAGGAAGCAAAAACGAGACAGGACAAATGATTTGATCGATGGAGAAAACATTCATACACACAGTTGAAGGGCTTCTGTTCCATTATTAACGTTCACTTAACAGACCAGTTCAAATTTAACTTCGACGCCAACGTCGACCCTTCTGAAACAAGTGCACGCATGTGTAATAGATGTTTATGTAAACGCGGGTGTCGCGAAAGTATAAAAACGTTTCCGATTAGTTTTGATGTTTTTAACTATTCCGCGTGAGCCAGATTCAACTGAGACGGCGCCCACCCAACTGCACACTAATGATGTCTCCTCGTATGGTGTCGAAACGTTTGCGAGCCAATTGCCAAACTCGGCGAACAGATCAACAGCCACCTGTTCAACAACCAATAAACTCACCCGCGCTAACAATAACCAAGAACAGTTAAGTGTACGTATAATGGCAAAAAGTGAGCGTAAATTACATTGCGCATAAGGTTTTTGGTGGCGCAACGCCATAACCTTTTGATTTCAACTCACATTTCTTTGAAACGTTTGTAGCTATAAGACTTAGCTCCGTAAAATCTATACGACAATGCTTTCACAATTCCTGTTATTTTTTTAAAACCACTGAACTATTCAAAATTCTGAATTCCTGCTTACCACCCTTCCGTGAAGATGCTTGAACCATTAAATCAGCGGGAGAAGTACGGAGCCGAGTTGTCTGGTTAATGTTGATCAATCCATCATGCAGATACAGGCGATTTTGCATCAATATGCCGGGACTATTCAAATCAAACCGATGCAAAATGTGCGTCCCTTTTCCGTCCTAAACGAGGAAATGAAATCGGGAGAGCAGAAGTTAGGTAACCCAGGCAATGTGCTCCAACGAAATTGAATCTGAATCCTGATCGGTTAGAAAAATTTATCAAGTGACCTATATCAAAATGTTTACAATTTTCTGAAATTTTGACAAGGCTTTCTTGAGAAGATTTAACCAACCAGGTAAACTAAGAGTCTTTCTCCAAGTTTAAATTATGGAGACGTTTCCCAAATAAATCCCCAGTTCATCATCCGTGCAAACGGCCAAGGAAAGTACGTGCGGACTGCATAGATTTTGATAAGAATATTTGGTATTTTCGAGCATGCGATCCTTCAGAATGCGAAAACTTGTGAACTGTTGCTGATTCCTTTCGCGATCGAAGCATCGTGACAGATTTTCTCGGCCATTAGGTATACCGGAATGTTCTAATAGTTAAATGTGATCATGCCATTATATGTATAATCCTAATATCGGCTCGTCGTGGATGTCTCCGATCAAGTGCTTATATTCACCAGTTAAATACTATACTACCGTATGCATCCGGCAGTTAGTACATTGGGGTGAGGGATAGGTAAAATTTCAAGCACATTCTGACCTGCACTGCGCGCAAGATTTTTTACTATCCGTCAGTTATCAACATAAACAAACTCGACCACATGCTGGGTTGATTGATTTATCCAACTGGCAAGAATCATCCTTTTGTTTTTCAACTAGTGTCATTGTAGGGAGTTTTGTGATCTGTAGAAAACTGAGGGTTACTCTGCTCTCAAAGGCTAATGGCTGATTTTCTACAATCTAGTGACATTCGTATCCGTCAATCATAATCCTCATAGCCGCAGAAATATCTATGTACAACTGAGTTTTCCTGATGCACGTGTTTAGGTGATTGGATTTGAAAACGTTTCATCGCATTATTGGTAGAAAATGAGGAAATCGTTTTGACAGTTTGAACCAAGTGCATTAAACGAAATTTCACGTGCGAATTTTAATCTTGGTTTTCTGCTTCACTTCATCCATAAGACTGTCAAATTTTCTGGAGATTCAAAGAACAAACTTCATGCCGGGCTTCAAAAACAATGACATTGCTGCCTCTATGCATCTTCATGATTTATTTCATCATGATATTAGAAGGTGCTGCCGAAAAGCACCAAATTTAACTAAACACAAGTTACTGGCCACATGCAATGATTTCATTCGACAACATTTCCCTATATGTTATGAAAACGTAAATGCTGAATCCATTTAGAGCTTTAAAAGAAATACAATCCCAGTTCTACTGGAGAAAGCTTAATTTCCATTTTCCTGCCGCAGCAATAAACTCACAATGAGCCGTTCAAGGGAATGCATTGAATACCGGTAAGAGGGCGATTCTCCGTAGAGAAGAAATGGAACAGGTTAACCAGAGGTAGATTGGTTATGTTACTTTATACATGAACACAGTGTTATCTTTGGAGCAAACCTATCTTTTTGCCAACAGTTAACTCGACCGTTGATTCTATTGGAACCTGAAAACATACTATTTGTTGTCCAAAACAAGCTTTGGCAGAATGATTGTGACCGCGCGACTGAGCTCTATGTCACAACACCTGGAAATCTCATCGGTGCTTAAAGGGTGAGTTTATGGATCTCCTCTAGTGGGGAATAATTGCAACGGTGCCATTCTCCAGGGCAATAGTGCAATACAGATATAGAGGCGCACAAAATATATATATGGCGAAATAACTAATGACAATAAATAACACCGGGTAGTTGTAGATAGTTGTGGGGTTTGTAATGTTTACATAAGTCTTGTTTTGACACCAGTGCTTGCGTACCTATTCAGGAGGAAATAACTGGACTCGAGTTTTGCTAGGGCTGATTGGCATTGCATGTCGTTGGTTATGACGTGTTGCGGGTCGGACTTGGAGAATCTGATATTTGAGGTGAGAATACCACCAATAAACCATCGGCGCGCCTGAATTATCAAGTCCGAACAGGTAACGTGTTTGCTGTTGAGCGGTGACTGGTTTATCCGACCTTTTGAAAGACGACCGTTTGTGCCGATTGCGCCAATATCTTGACCCACCTGTCAGGAATTCTCGGTGAAATAGCGCCACTTAAGTGAACACGTTCGCATGTCCAAATGTGATAACTCAGGCGTTAATAAAGTGGGGTGACGCGCTCGTATAAGAAACCTTATGTCCACACCCCAAAATGGCCAAGGGTTTGCACCGCTGATGGGTTATAAAGAGCTCTCCTCTTTGGTGTGGTCTCACCTGGATGATAGTGTTAGGACAACAGGTGAACTGTCCGAACAAGAGTGCTATGAATATGAAGGTATGAATGCCTTGTTTGTGATATACATCTATTCTAGAACAACTTTAATGAAAATAGACATTGTCCCCCCGAGCGTTCACGAACCCCCTATGGGCTTATCAGGACATATCGTTCCTTCACTTCCAGAAACGCTCAACTCAGAAAAATTTCGAAGGGAACCGGGTTTTTAAAGCCAATCGTCTCCGCTAGCAAACTACATCAATAGCTGGGCGGAAAAAAAAACTTATTTTGAGGGTTTTTGCTAGTTGTTCCTTATTTTCTTCCCAGAGGATTACATCTTTCTCCGACACAATGGAGCTGTGTCTGTCAGATGAAATCTAACGATCGTGCTGCTCGCTGCAACTCAGCCAGCGCCAATGAGTATCAGTTCTTTAAGTTGTGCATGTGATCATCAGAAGAAATCGTTCAATGCAGATGGTTAGAAAATAGCGCCATCAACTAGTATCTCATTCGGGATTATTTCTCGGCGGATCTTCGAAAAGAATATTTAACTAAATAAAGGAACATTTTGGATGCTCCTGCATGGTGGTTTTCAGATTGTGATCAAGCAATCAATTGTTCCTTTGGTACCCGAGTTTGTAATGTGTTTTTAGTTTATGCAGCAAACAAAAAATTTCAAACCAACGGCAATGAATAATAAGAAAGGACCTTGCTTGACCTTCCCACCGAAACGATCGAAGTATTCTCACTTCAGAATCGACTAAAACATCCCATTCGATTACTAACCGATGAAAATCAATTACTCCTCTCTCATAAAGTGCGACAAAAAGTTTGTTCACGTAGGGGTTGAAGTACTGAATAACTCTATCCAAATACGCTTGAAACGATCAGGCTGATAATACTCACTGTAAACTCGATGAGCTTCCACGAGTCGATTGAGACGTTCCAGTTTCGAGTGTTTTGTGTGGTAACGTTGATTGCTAGGTAGAGAAAAAACAACGAAGTTGTCACCCCAAAAGTGTTTCCCTGAAGGAAAAATGCTGGTTAAAATCAATGGTAAAAAATGGCGAGTTTGTATCATTTGTTCAATTTGATTATCATCTTGGTGCGTGCTCTCTGGCAGTTTGCTGCTTCTGGTGTCCAATTTCACACAGAGGCTAGCATGATAACCAAATCCCTTGAATTTCACACGGATAAACTTGGGTGACGCAGTTGGCTCCCCACTGTTTTAGCATCTATTCTGCATTCAGTTTGCTGCTTTACGAAAAAAGTACTTGACTAGGGAACTCACAATTCCGTACCAGCTTTTGGGAACCAGTCAACGCAACAACCGAATCAAGGTGGTCACAAATATCTGACGGGGACTGCCACTTAACTCAGCATCCATAGCAGTCAGGCAGTCATATATGTCTACGTGCGCATAAAGACCGCTAACGGTCAACTCCACTGGTCGATAGTCAACTAAGATCAGACAATCAGATAAAGTTATGTGATTTCTATGTAAACCAAGATTGTTCTGAACATCCGTTCTAAGCTCACACGCTTTGATCCATATTCCATTGGCTATCATACAATTATCCACTTACATACGTGTTGTATCAGCACTTGTTGTAACTGTATTCAGTTGGGTTGGATGGAATTAAGTGTTTAATCCATTAAGTACCATCTCAACTACCCTTAACGAGTACTTCTTTCCGAAAAATGAAATTTTTGACTGAATTTTACGAATCGGAATACATATTCAGTGTAGCCTGTTGGGTTCATCGTACGTTTTTGGACATTAGCTTTCAACAAAGAATATACCTCGACAGCCATTCACGTTTTAGCGCGTAGCTTGCGAATAAAGCTCAGTTAGCCGATACATTAAAGCACATGTTATCAAAAACAGTGACAGTGCTACATTGTATAGTGTGCACGAATTGAGGTTGTCAGGACTAACTTCCAGTGCATGTAACTCAAGTTGGCAAAACAACAGAGAGTGAATTAACTGTGCAAAATCCATGAATAAGATTTCCAGATAGATTCCTTATTATCTCTGTTTAACAGCATTGTATACGTGCTTCGAACTAGAGTTGAAGGGCCCTGATTGGGCCTCATCAAGGGCACCACGAAATGGTCCGCCCAACGTGTGTCTCAAATACAGACTTGTTATTACGACTAATAATTGGAGGATGCCTTTTTGTAGATATATAAACCATTATTGGTTAGGTAAAGCGGCAGAGAAGTTGTAGTGATAGTTCATATCACACGTCCCTGGGTGACTCTCAACAGCAATTAAGTAAGCAGTGTTATTCCAAAATTCTTTGGCGCGTTTATTTTACAACTTTGTAACCTTGCTGATAGAATTTAATGAAGCATTATACCCTACTGGAGTACTGACGTTAAAAATTTCCTCAGTTGGACGAATTTCGAAATAGCGTCCACACTAGAGAACGCACCACACTGAGACATGAGGTATAGTTGACAGTTGTCAGGACAGTGTAATGAAATTCCATGTGGCTGAAGGAGGCGTTGAAGAACCCAAAAGGACGACGGAACTGTCCTGATATAAAAGACTGCTGGATTTTCTGTCGTATTGCAGAAGGGTCTGCTACATTTTCCTCCGCATGTATTAAGTAGCATTAAACGTTGAACGAAAATGACACTTCCCCCCCTGGAAGTCTTCTTTTTAGTGGATGGCTTTGCTTTATCGTGCTTTATGGTTTGGGTAAGGATGATACTGCTTATGCATTGGATTAGTCTGGAAAACTAACAGATTACCTAATTTAACGATATAAGTTGCCTCATTATATATTCTTAGATAAGATATATCTACCCACCTGATTGCAAGCGCTGTGCCTCCATCAGACTTTTCCCAGTTATCAGCACTTCCTTATTGCCAATGTTCAAATGCAATTTTGAACGGAATGTATTCTTCATCACCCTGTGCAACTTCAGCAGTAGATGGTTCCAGGTTAGGTTTCCATTTTCACTTGTGGACCTGAGCCAAAAAGTCAAATTGTCGGCAGTCTGAGTGCAGTTGAAGAACAGTCCAATTGTTCCCTGAAGGAGATAAAAGACTGTTTCAACGCTCACTTGTTACGCACAACAAGATAATCCGCACATTTTTTGCACAACTGTTGGATCTGTTCTTAAGGAATCACCACACTGTATATCGGCCGTACATAAGGAGATGCTTGGCTTTGTATAAGAAAAAACTGAACCTGAACAGAGGAAAATGAGGTGAGATCCAGTAAAAATTCGTTCCAAATGCCACTGAATTCAATTCCCGTATGGGATTCTTTAGCTTGTTGCACTTAGTTCAATGTTGCATGCTTAAAATGGCATTAGCGCCAAATTTTTGTAGTTACTGACACTGTGACGCCTCGGTACGTCTATAAGGCATTACTGATCAGTATCAGTAAAACATGAATATCTCGTCTCTCTAGGAGAAAACTTACTTTTTGTGTGCCCCTAACTGTGAGTTGCGTATTCGTGTTCAATTATCTATGTTCTTCATTAGGTGTTTGTTTGATAGGATCAAAACTGGGTGTCAGCACAACTACCTGGAATAGACGGAAAACAAAACCTGAACCCTCAGACGCACAACGGTGGTGAGCGTCTTGGAAATGTGACATGCTCGCTTCGTTGTTTATCGTAAGCTTGAGGATATGTACGGCAGGATGGGGAACGTGCGTTATCAAACTGTTTCGTTGTCATTTTTCACTCGGATACATTTACGTTAAGCCCGGTCCGAAAGCCTATTTTTGTGTTTACTGTTTTACTGTTTTACTGGTTTAGTGTGTTTACTGTTTACTGAACCATGAACTAAAAGAAGAAAACGAATGAAGTTGTTCGACGAACATCAAACTTGGATGGCTTTGCTGTCATGTTTTGGAACGTTCTAGGTCCCTTGAAAGTTCAATGTAAGTAAACTACAAACCAGGTTACGGCTTGTTAGTCAAAAAGATGCTGCCAAATTTAGCCTGGGTTTTGGTCGCTGCTGAGTTAGCTTCAACAACTAGTCTAAATCAGATAAACCTGGATAGCACGGATATTGCAGGCAGTGTGCCAGAAACCAAGATAAAAAACTCCGGATGAACCACTTTCCGGACAGAACGCGCCAAATCGGTCTCTACAATGAACTGAACTCGTGAAATTTGTTGATTAATACCTTCCGTGAGTTGCTTCTAGAGTAGATGAGGAGTTGGCGTACTTGAATAACCAATTCTCCCATCAATGAAATAAGGGTACTGTGATCTGACCATGAATATAAAGAATTGGAATCTTTCCATAATACTCTGACATATCTTGGACCTTTGTAGCGCAATTTAGTTGTGTCCTAGCTAACAGTGCGTTGATCCGCGTATAAGTGTTCAAACTTACAAGTCTAATTTGATGGCTCCGGAAGTTCCGTGACCAATATCACCTGTCGAGTCCTAAGAAGGGTCAAACCGTCAATAAACTTCGAACAATTTTCATCAACCATTGATTTGGCACAATTTGAATGAAAATGCATTGATACTTAGTTTGTGATTCTGAACGAGACAAGGGTAGACGTTTCTGAAGCACATACCGTTGAAATACTTGATGAACAAGATATCACTGAGTCATTATTAACTGATGATCAGCAAGAATTCTTTGTTCCGAGTACCTTATTTCGTGCGAAACTAATTTAGTGAGAGCTGGTTGGTTAGTCAGTTTAGGGTAAGGTTTCATCTCCATATTTTCAGTGGTAGGGGTAAAATGTCTAGACTTGTTAGAATTGGGTGAAAAATCAGAAATTGGACAAATCCTTGATTGTATTGTACTGTATAAATGTCAAAACCGTACGCCTATGAAGCCATAAGAAAACGGGGTATTAAGAGAAATACCGCTTCAGCGGACCACCATCAAACCAGGTAGCAGCAGACACGCAGTTGGTTACTACTTTGAAAGTTGTCATTTAAAACTTCTGACCTAGTTTACATGACCGACAGCAGCTGTCGGTCAATCCGAGGAACAGACACAAAACAAGAATGTTTAACACTGTTTACCACGCTGGCTAAATGTACCTGCGCTAAATTGTGGAACCGCATTTGTCCGGCACCTTACTGTCAAGTGGTACGTTCTCTGGTGAAACGTAGGCACTATGATTTAGTACTGTTGACGTATTAAGTGTAAAACAAAGCTGAACACGGAAACTGATGCTATGTACAAAGGAGAGTATGAAGGCTTATGTTGGACGCACCCTTTCAACAACGCTCTTCGCCAGTGAAGCATTTTGTACCTAAATACCGTTTGCAATTCAAATGGCATGATGTATCGCTCAGTTCTACAGAGACGCTGTTGGGGAATTCGAAGTAATAAAAGCATGTACAGATTAAAGACCACTGAGTCAAAGCTCATCAGAGGCTTTTTTGATACAGTTCATTTGGCCCCGCTGGCCCTCAGGTAACGAGGCTTCAGCAACAGGTTACACCAATCGGGACAGCCGGTGGACGTCTGCGTGAAATTCTGATTAAAGCCACATAATTTAGATAAAATAAGGCGAATTTCACATTTGTGTCTGTTAGACTGTTAAGCGGTGTTACAATCCGTTGCTTCATTCACTTCTCTCTATCGGAAACATCTGGCCCATTGACGTTCATTTATCGCCTTCGAGGGCGCAACTCAATCACCACTTCCTATGTGACTGTGAAAACTGGTTGACAGATTCTCTGCTTCGAAATGGAGGTATGGAACAATTGACGAGACTTTTGCAGAAAAGCTTCAATTGCCCGTATTGCAATAAAAAAACAGACTATTCTGTGCCGTCCAACCCGGCTGCTATCGTTTTTTAAAGTTTGGAGATTTGTGTCCAATTCTGTCAAATTTACCTTACAGAATCCCTGGTAGGCTTTTAATGTCCAGATGAATTGGTGAAAGATGTCCTCCGAGTTGGCGTTCGTTTACACTGATTGTTTTAAGCATGTGTCCTCGAAAGGATTTCTAAGAATCAAGTGATAAGTCGGCTAAAACTTGCTCATTGTAAATCTATACAGTTTTGTTTTCTGCAAAATTATCTGTTCACTATCAAGGTGTCGTTCATCTTTCACCAACGTGCCTGACCATTCTACGGATATCTATGCTACGTCACCAAAGAGGTATGTTTTAAGCTGTAAGCACCACAGCATTCTATTGGAAAATGATTTACCCTGATGCTTGACCAGCGGGCTTATTTAAAATAACCGTTGGAAAAAATGGTAACAAATCACAGACCCTCATTCTCCAAAACAGGCTCCGCTAAAGGCAGTTAAGCTTGGCATCAGAAATGATACGATGGTTTAATTAGTGGTGCTGGACCTGATCCGCAAACCTGTCCTACGCTGCCTGACCGCGATTTTCGTCCTATACAGAATTATGGTGTATACTGAGATCGACAGTTTAAAGAGTTCCATTTAGTCCACTCAGGTAATCCGTTAGAGTAAAGATGTTTGATATCTGCTAATGGCATGATTCACAGTACCACTAAAAGAACTTACCTTCTTGAGAAGTTCGGAGTTGAGTTCAATTCCGTAAAGCCAGCTGTCCGTGTGTGGAGCAATTCGCTCCTCAGCATAACGTAAATGCATCGATGTGTTCACGAATCTGTTTTCATTGTCCAAATCAGCTTCTCGTGGAATGCTTTGTATGTTCCATAATGTAGTTTGGTTGGTATCCTGCGAACTGAGTATTTTTCGGGTAATGACAATATCCCTCAGAGGTGTCAGTAAACCCCATTCAAAAAATGAACGCCGCGCCGTCAGTGTCGTTCCAAATCTCCACTTTTCATTAAATGTAGAAATGAGCTGATACGCTCCAAAGCGTGGATCAGCGGCAGTGTATATATGAAAGGATTTCGGCCCGTAAGCCAGAACTGCGGCGCAGTCATGAGTAGCGTTTTCCCAGGACGCACAACGAATAGACGTGTTTAAAGAATCTGACAAAAGTCCTGTTCCTTGTTCTGGTTTGGATACTCGCCATTCACACAGACTGTCGGATAGGTAAAGATGAACGACCATCGGCAGAAAATACAAATTATTCAGGGCCATAAGCACGCCATCTGAGTCGGATTTCTCCATCATAAGACGAAAGTGCGCATTGTGAGTCACGTCGTATCCCGTTTCCACGATTACCCCAAAGAGATTCAGAGCACCGTTTTGTATGTGGAATTTCCTCTCAATTCTTAAAAGCAGACGTAGATGTGGGATTTCTACGAAAGTGGAATTAACGGATATGGCAAGTTCTTTCAACAGACTGTCCTCATCCACAGCCCGCAATTTGTTTTCTTTTAGTGATACCATACCTCTTAGTTCCTTCTCATCTGAGCTGCGGAACTCAACCAACCCGATGCCATTCCTCGCATATATGGATACGTTCAACAACGTTTCAAATACTTGTAGAACTATATGCGCAGGTATGTTCGCACAAGAAAGTCTGTCAAAGTGAAACAGGTTTGTTTCCAGTTTCAACCACACTTTGCTATTTTCTCTGGATTCCTCGTCTTGTAACAGCACCAGTAACCACTCGGGTGCGATAATCATTTCCGCAGTCAACTTAGTCTCGTTCAGTGTTAGTTCTTTGTGCGTTAGAGCCGATTGCATGACCACGTGGAGTTTTTCTTCGCTATAGATAGAGCTCAAGTTGAACTGGAACCCATATTTTCCATGGGTGTCGTGCATATGGAAGACTGACTTGTGCTCGGTTTCATCGATCTGGCTATCCAACAGTAATCGGTAAGTAGTAGGTTCGGAGTCCAACATAGATAAGACACCCACTGAGAGTTCTCCAATCACTTTGAACGAGTGTACTCCAATGCGACTTGAAACAGTCGAATTATAGTTTCCCAGGCCGACTTGGATCTGTTGATTTGCCTCAATCAAGTTAGGCGTGTCGGCGTTAGCTGCAACGTATCTGAATACTCCACGCAGTGGATGGGTGCGTTCTAATCCAGTTAAACTGTGTGGTGAAAGGTTATCGAAATTATTTGGCACGGAGTGATCGGTTGGTAAAGAAGTAGCTTTCAGTGTCCCTTCAATTCGAGGTATCAAAGGATTCAATTCAATGATGCTTTTTACAACAAAACTGCCAGGAATCTTAGCTTGGGATGCTTTATTTGCTTGTAGAACGATGGTCACATTGTTCACGTGGGCATTTAACGGCATGCAGTGAAGTACGAATTCAAACTGTTGATCCGGAACAAAGACAAATTTGTGATCAAAGAAAGTTTTGCCTCCGAATGCGATCAGCTCTGTTGCTTTTAGTTTGACCAAGTTTGTATTGTTGATTATGCGTTGAAAGCCGTGCTGAATTACGAGATTACGCAACAAAAGATGAGGTGCATTTATGTGAACCAGATGACTATTGGACTGATCATTTGTTGAGTGAGACGCGTTTGTTTGAAGCCGGAAAGAAAGCATTTTGAATGGTACGTTCATTTCCATCAACACCAACCCACTATTATTTTGAAAATTTTGTGTCTTGAAGCGAGCGGTTATATCTTTCTTTCCCATTTTTGCATGCGCGAAATAGTGGTTTGAATTCAAAGTGCCGAAATGACTCAGATTCAGGGTTGTGTAATTATCCCAGTTAGCCGTAACATCCAAATAATGACGGCTTTCGGTTTTGGTTCTTTGGTATTCCACAGTACCTTTTCTCAACCAGCGCACGTTAGACTCCCATTCAAGCATTAATTGTGGAAGACTGACTCCGCAATCGTCACCTAATTTCACCCAAAGACTTTTGTTAGCATAGTATCTCACAGCATTCGGTAGTTTTATATCAATGTTTGTGTTCTCTTCGAGAACCGTTTGGTTCCGGTTCGTCACCGTTTCTCGAAGTTCTGCAGCTAACTCCAAACGAGGAATGCTTATTTGGGCGCTGCAATCCACTTTCATCCAACTATCTTCCTGTACCAAAGCCAAACGTGAACGAAGCTCCTCTCTCTCATTGAGATACACGGAAACCCACACATCCACTCGGTTCTTGAGAAACGCATATCCACCGAATACCTGATTACTGGTCGTTGTACCAGGACGCCCGAATTTCAACCATCCTTGTAGCATATTTCCTGTAGGGCTGATAAGGATTAACGCAGACCCTTCAAATGCCCTTGTCCCTCTCCCTTCAAAAAGCCTATATCCCAAAATGCTTCGAATCGAAAGTGTTTTGTTGGTTGTTTTGGCATGGTGATTTTCATACATATAGTTGGACATGATCGTGACCATTTCATAACCCGTCCAGTATCCAAGATGTTGTGAATTGATCACGGATTCAATTGTTCCCGATTCGAAGTTGTTTTCAGGTGTGAAACTGAAGTGCAAACGTAATGGAGTTCCTGGACCTACTCCTGAACGCGGAGTAAACTCCCCATGCACTCCGACAGCATAACGCTCGGCTGAGAATTCCACGTCATAATTGTAATTGGCATACCAGCCAGTAAATTCGCCAAAGCTTGTGGATGGATTCAGTGCAAACATTATCGATCCGTCCATGTTGTATCCTGGATGAGATCGGAGGCGGTTCTTCTCAGTGAGTGTCAAACTACCCAGGTTGGTGTGAATTAATTCAACAGTAATAATTCTGGACCTCCTGGACGAATTATAGCGAATATTCCAACCCGTTTGTTTGTGATCCGAAACTGGGTCTGTTTTAGGGTCTAAATGCAATAGTAGAGTAGAAGCAACCGACGTCTGCGTTATCGTATTTTCAAAAAAATTAACGAACTCGATCCCATACTTCTCCTGAGTCCCTTGGTGTTTTTGTAGAGCCACAAATTTGATGTGGCCTTGCCCAATACTTATCCCTAACGAAGTGAACAACTCCAATCCAGTGTTGACAAAGATCTGTGGAATGAGCACCAAAATGTGACCAGACCCGACATAAGTGATGGTGAAGGGACTGAAGGTGAGTGACGAATGAAGTTCTGTACCCAGTTGACAATGGGCGAGTAGTTCACTGTCTTCTTTCAGCCTCCGCCTGCTTACATGCAAGAGTTCAAACCTCCCTCTAGTATGCTCATATTCGAATTCGCTTTTGAAGTCTAAATAGGGTATATCGTTGAGCGTGACAGCGCTGTCGAATCCAAGTTGTATGTTCTTTCCGATTTGAAGTTTATACGAAGTCTTCATGTTGAGTGACCGATTCTCGGGCCATTTTAAGCGCATAATGTGTACACTTTGCCCACGAATAAGATGGCTTTCAACGACATAAACGGCGTAAGGCTGGAGTTCCAGTGATATAGTGGTGATCGCATCATGTTCGATGACATGGGAACAAGTGAGATGAATATAGCGACCAATGTTTTCAGGGAATAAACGTAACGTGAGAATAGCTTGTATTTGTGTGATCCATGGGAGTTTGTGGTTGGTATGTCCTTTCCAATGTAATTCACCATTCGCAACACTATCGATGTTCTACAAAGGCACAAGTTAGAAATTTTAGGCTGACGAAAACTAATCATAACAAAGAAGAACTTTCTTCTAGTAAAGCAAACGAAATAAACGGAGCATCGCAGTTTTGAGGACGATAGACAAACGCAAGAATGTCAAACAAAAACATTCTACATAGCCTTTCCTAGAAAAAAAACCCCTTACTAAAAAATGTAAGCTAACTACGAGAAGAAACGCAGAATGTGTGTTTTGGTTGATTTTCTATCATTGTATGTATTATTTTCCTGTCAAGCTTTACTCTCTAGCTTGATAGCTTCGTCTCGGTTCAACAAGCTTAATGAAACAGTGAGGCAAATTTCCCATACTCAACAGGAATGCTGTACTGTCTGGCTTTCGGCCTAAGAGGATAGAACTTTCTGTCATTAGTTTCTATCCAGACTATTCCGACAGAGCTGCTTAGAACGATCAAAATAGCTTCTCAAATGGTTATTCCCTACCAGTGACATATCTTAGGATTTGAGGAACAATTCTGCTCATTGAAGTGCTAAATTCTGATACACGACAGATTACTAAAACAACAGTCCATCTATATGCTTTCTTATGGGTCTCAGCTTGTAAACGTGCCAAGTTGTTTAGATCACATGATTTATCGCTTGCAAACAGACGGATTTTTGGATCACGTAATCAGCTGTTCGATTTCCATTGTTTGGATGTTTGTTCGAAATTGAGTTGTATCAAGTGACTAATGGCTTGGCATGGTTTGGCTCCACTAACACTCAACAAAACTGGTCTGCGGCTGCACTGTGTACACTGTAGGCCGAAGCAACATGTGTCAGTTTACTATGAATAAACTAACCACATACTGCCTCAGTATGCCATCGCGTATTCTCGGCTTTTTGTCGTGGACTGGCTTCACTTAGGCGAAGTAATCGCGATTGAAAAGATGTTAGTGTCAAGGCCCACTCAATTCAGGAAGACGTATTCTTGGAGTTGAGCAAAATGATGAAGGCCACATACTCGCAGGATCTACGACTCACGCTTAGGCTGGATTTAGAGGAGACCAGATGGCAGATTTTACACTAGAATGAAAACGTTGTGGTACCACGCTACTTAATTGTAAATCTGTCTCTCATCTGTCGTAATCAAGGAGGATTGCATCGTGTTTAGATAATATACGTTTGATGCGGAAGCACTGGTGTCACGGTGATAATACTGATGGGGGCATGCGAGTAGTATGTTTCCTCGTAAATCCGCTTTGCGTCTCTTGAAAAGTGAGATCTATTACAGAATTCGTAGCGTTGTAGCATCTGTAGCATTTATTTGCAATCAAGTAACAGTCAATGAATATCCTTTCACCGGTATGTCGCCTTACGTTATAGAACAATACCAACATAAACAGCTTTGTTAACTAATGAGCTTAATGCCGAAAGGTAGTGCGTCCTTTAATTTAGTTTCCATGATGACGTCGTGCTACTATACTACTAATGCGCAAACACGTGCATGCCGACGAAACGGTCAATCTGACGGTACGTACTAGGGTAATTTAGGCCGCCAGCAGTTTTCGAATCCATCACTGACTGGATGATGAAACAATCGTAGTGAGGTTCTGGACCTCGATTTTAACTTAGGCGGACCTGCGCTCGACTAACTCAGTCCGTGGGCCCCATTGGTGGGCCACTGCAATCACGAAGCTCATGCAAACATCATAAACGATTTTATAATGCTGCTATCTGAAAGAGTGGTATAGACGAACACGTTATATTCCCATTACTGACGGAATACAAGGTCAACGAGTCATTCTAAACGTCATTTGCTTTATCATTTAGTCAAAGAAAGCTTCATAACACAGGCGGTCTGGAAGTTGGGAATATCAACCTGCCGTTTACCGATTCCTATTTCACGTGTGTACGATCCTGTCCTTATGGGTAGAAAATGTTTGACAGCCTGAAGTGTCTAACTGTTGATGCTCGACGGTCATCCATAAAGCAAGATCGGACGGGTGGCTGTCTAAATCTAATATCCGTCAAACCTGGTCCGAAATAACTCAACTGTTGCTGGTATTTGAACAGCGCAAACTCATGCGGCAGTCGTTATCAGAAGAAAGAAATCCGTGGCGGTTTTCTCTCCAGGTTCCTGCAGTTCTAGTATCTGTTGTGCAGGGGTTCTTTTGAGACAAGTCTGCTATCCAGCAAATTTGACGTTGATTATATGGTCGCTTAAAACATGAACGGGTACGCCTTATTGTACCGAAGCATCAATGAGGCGGTCAGGCAGTTTGAAGTACTGGCGTATATACCTCCTCTTACAATATGTATATGCAAATCGGAAAGGGGACAACCAACTGATCGCTAATAAACCTCGTTTAAATTGTCCTGACTTCTATAACATGTAAAATCTAAGGCTGAAGATGTTCATTTCACGTAATTCGATGATTTTTCAACCTGCCCTCTCGCCGCTAATAAAACCGATTCAGCTGGCTAGAGATACATATCGCGTCATATGGTGAAGGGCAACCCATATACAATCCAGTGAGAAAACGTAATTCCTAGGGATGGCGATTTTAGGTCAAGAACGATTTTAAATGGGCTAGGGGACCAAGCTGGTTAAACCCGTTGATACGTCAATGATCTTATAAATGCAGCTTCATTCCCGTTATACCTACTTACTTGTATTCTCAGATTTGTTGGTTCGGGAGAGTGTGTGGGTAGCGGTCTAGAAAATATTGTGTCCGGTACGGACACCCCCTTTTGCATTTCTGTACAGTCTATTGACCAACAGGGTAACGATTAAAAGTAGAAATCCTGAAATGTTTCGAAACTTCCTTCTTCAAGTTGCTCTTGATGGTAAATTTACAGACAATAACATTCTCATTCTCGAGAATCAAGAGTAGGGAAGATGGTATCTAGGCGAAATGACAAGCACCTTGCATCGTTTGGCGTGTGCTTTTTGGGCACGATGTGAACATACAATCACGGAAAAACGTCGCCTGAAATCGGGACCTTGGATTCTTTCGGGCATTTTCAACGCTTTACTTTTGCAGATATGGTTAGCGTACGGTTAGTGCACTTTAATTCCCGGATAATGTTTGCCAATTTGAGCTACTTGCATGCATCGCACCTCGGAACTTCGAAAGACTTGTACGCCAAAATCTGACTTCAGTAGTTCAATCCGTGTGATGATACCTGTTACTGGCCAGCGATGGCTTAAGATGAAGCTTCTAATCTATATCAATTGAGTTCTTGTTCTTTTCTTCCATCCCCGTTTTCTGGAGGATTGTCTGGAGGTGTAGGTGAATTGCGATACATGAATTGTACTGAAAGGCACGTTCCATCTCCGTAGATTTGTACCTTGACTGTCCTTATTTGGATGATTACGTTTTTACTTACGTTCCTTATGACGCGTACGACCAGTTTGGCCGAACGTTTTGCTTCACAGCTAACCGGGAAGATCAAAAGGGTTGAATTAACAGACAGTTTAGCATGATTATGAAAACATCGGCAGAGAATGAGCTTACTTGTATTGGAATACTCAACGTTGCTCTGGCCTTCAATTCTCCTCCTTGATCCAGTCTGTAAGCAAGCCACCAGATCAGGGAAGCGTTCGAATTCAAGCGGTCATTCTGTGGTGAATATGTCCATCCATATAAGCTAAAGATAGCGGGCTTGTTCGTATGCAGAATCCAAAATTCTTTGGACATAAATTGACTCAGGTCCAATGCTAGTTCAGTCCTGTAGAAAAGAACCGTAAAAATGTTTTGACATGTTTCAAACTGATACGTTACCGGCTAAACTCCACAGATGGAAATGGGACTTGTTTGTTCTGTTTGGTACATGCTACCTGACAAACTAGTTATCTTCACCCATGGTGCACATCTTAGCTCTACGATAGATCGGCCATATGAATATGCCTTCTAATTAGCGACCTGGCCCCACGCCGAATGGCTGGAATTCTTTCGTTCTAACGCGGTGCACTACATCTAAATTGGACCCGAAAACCCCGTACCCATCAAAAAACAGGCTCCAAACGGATCTGTTGGTGAACTACCGTGAACAACCGATTAAAATCAATCATGTTTGCGCGTTAGACTGATACGTATTTTGGAAGTGGATACAGGTCAATCCTCCTACATTACACCAGTGCAAAGAAGGAAAACAAAGCAGCTTCTAACTCTTTCATCTTAGAGGCACGAGACCCAGTTTCACACCAAATCGCGCAGTGAGAACAATTCCGTCTTTCAAAATAGAGTGGCGCGAATACGAACTAAACACATCCTAAACACATCGGAACTAATTTGGAACCCCTCCAACCCATCAATTCAAGATTTTGTCACCCACACTAGCTGACAAGAGCCGTTAATTGACACTCAACACTGATCTAGTTTGAAGAGGACTTACTGATTGGTTCCCCGTCGGTCTAACAACCTGGCCAATTTGGTGACCCATTCACTTAACCTGATGAAGCTTTTGTGTCAAGAGCGAAACGTTGCCCTAATAAAAACTACCGATTGTTTACCAAGCTCTTCTGAAACATCCTACAAAACCCCACAACTGAAGCCAAACAGGTTGCCCAGTGGGTTTCAACCGTTTGTGACACTACCCGACTGCGAAGTCCTGACTGCCGGGTCAATCGATCGTCGCAACCAGGATAGTTACTGGGTCGTCCTTCGATGAGTCGCGCGCACCAATCACATCGCTCGAGCGTGAACACGTTCGCCTGTTCAAACGTGAAAATTCAGGTGTGTCCAACATGCGTTGGGGGAGTAGTGGTAACACGCTCGCCTCGCATGTCAGATGTCCGGAGTTCAAATCCCGGCACGGACGTGGGATGTGCACCGTTGATGAGCTCCCACACGAGCGGAAATTGAGTTCAATGCTTCCCCTTGGTGTGGACTCATCAGAATAATTACGCCAGAACAGGAGGATGACCGATCAAGCGAGAATGATGTGTCATATGATGGTTCATATTCATGAACCACTTTCACAGTATTCCGGACTAAAATTGTTCAGGTGCTTTATACTGTAATCGAAGTCCGAACATTGAGTAGAAAATGCGTCATGTAACCTTCACCGGAGAGTGCTTGAGGCTGTTGTCTTCAAAATATTTCGCAGTGCTTTTGAAACTTGCTCCAGTGTCTTTCCGCAATCGCACTGTAGTTTAACTCTCGATCTGCCTTCCTTTGCAGCAATCGGTGATATCGTTTACCCATCTATCAATCCTGTGTTCTCAACACAGAAAACTCACAGCAACTGATTCACACCAGCATGACAGTCTACTTCTTGTTCTACCGTAGCATAGGCTCAGGAACTGGTATTGAAATATGAAGGTCGCAAAGACAATATAATCCGAATATTTTGGGCACAGTTGACAAAAATGTCCGACACTAGAAAATGTGGGACGTAAAATTAAGACTCTCCTGAAGGATATATGCATAAAGGGCATAGGGAATAGGATGCGCTCAAATGCTGGTCTTCAACTGGTTCTGTTGCGAAACGCTTGCACCGACTTTCGAGAACAAACAAATTGGTATATTATCGCGCCAGGTACACTCCGTGACACGGCCACTGTGTCACAAACTTGTTAAATGCCTTGTGGACAAAAGTAACCAGATGAAAGATGAACTGGCTGTCATTAACCCCAAAGACAAGCATCTAACACAAAAAAGTAATTAATGGTAAAGTTAAATCGATATGTACCACTATGTAGTTGTCAACATTGATGACACCATTTAAACTTTTATTATATGGAACTATTTTTCTTGAGAAGCTCAAGATTTGACATGTTTAGGCCTTTATTCCGTTGTACAACAAATATCTAAATTTAACTGAATGATAGCTTTCCAGGCACATGAATGGAGAGCCCAGTTGTGACCGTCTCCCTTGGCGTACTTTTCGACCACTTAAAGCAAAACATATTAAAAAAGATCCGGAATTTTCTTGTGTTGTTACGGTGATGACAACTTTGCGGAATGCGGGGATCATGATAAGGCACACAGAGTAGAACAAACGGTCACCCGTATTTTACGGAGGAAATGCGGTGACATGGGAAGTTGTAGTCTTGGATGTGGTGCTAAGCACGTAAGAAGGTGTTTTAGAGAGTTTCATGAAAACCTGGTGTGGAAAGGCGATATCCCTGCTTTGAATATTTCACAGCTATCAGAGAAGGACATGCTCCAGTTATTATTCAATGGTAGCTTGTGCTTCGACTGCCTAAAACGAGAAGCTCAACAACTCAGAAACTTTATCATGACGGAAACTACTCACAAGGTTACTGAAAACCGCTGGAGCCCACGATCCGTTTCACTATTTTTGGGGTTCTCGAATATTGTGCTAACTGACAGGCGGCAAACTTTATCATGACGGAAACTACTCACAAGGTTACTGAAAACCGCTGGAGCCCACGATCCGTTTCACTATTTTTGGGGTTCTCGAATATTGTGCTAACTGACTCATGAGGCGGCCTGTATGCAGCACATTCAGTTGTAGAACATCATAAGCGAGATATTCAGTTGAGTCTTTCATAAAAAATCAAGCTAATTTGCAAATGAGTGTATTTCGAACTCAGAGATGTCTTTTCGAAGGGGAAATGCAGACATATACTACCAGCCGGAAGAAGGTAGCGAAATGCAGTCTTGCGTACCGAACGGCACAGTGAAACGTGATACGTGGTATGTGATATATGGTTTTCACGGGGGTCTGACTGAACGCGACTGTCAAATGAATTTGCAAAACTATGTTGTTATTATTGCCTGAAAAAACTATGCTCATATGCATGCCTTTAACAACCGAATACAGCATTTTCTATCAAGTTGTCTGTATCAACGGATGCAAATACAGGGCAACCATTATACGGGGAACACATTGGAGCAATTCCAAAAACAGCGCTGTTAGTGGGAGCCAGAGTATCCAAACTCTGCTACAATCAGACACATTTACACTCCGGTCTTTTTGTTAAAATAATGACTACCTACCAGAGCGCAGGCACAAACACAAACTTTACTCTTTACTTACTCTTTACTCTAGCCTTGTTTATATTTTCAAAAGCGGCTTGGGACTCACGCTGGACTACATTTTTAAGGCAGACGACTCAGTTTCATTTAGTCAGGTGACTATAGCTTTTTACTGCGTGCGTCCTCTGTGTTCTGTATGCTATTAAACTCTGCCATCATTTTGCTCGTTACTTATTGTCCTCATGTTGCACTTTCCAAGTGCTCTTAACCATTTACTCTGTTTTAGGCAATTAGACGAGCCTTCAGATGTTACATGACATACTGAACGGTTGCGAGGTCAATGTGACATGCGATCCATGTCTGTAACATCGTAAGAGCAGCCGCTGAAATGCAACCGAAGTGTCTACTCCTAGGACACTATTACATTCTGAAATGCACCCTGTTTAATCTTCTCTTTGTCGAAGTCATAGCAACGAGAAAAATATCGGATATCTGATCAAGGTTAATGTAAATATTTGAACATATTTTCCGTTGACTCATCTGTGTTTTGGCTTCCCGTTAACCTTTGTTATGACAAACAAATCCGTACTGCTTGTCGCTGTTGCAGTAAAAACTAGCTATTCGTCTCCTACGACCGCGAATTTCGCAATTCACATCAGTTAATTCGCATCTGAGGTCTTTGTTAGAAAGCTACTCTTTTCGCTGTGTATCTCCTGCTCGTGAGCATTAAATGGGAGAGGTGAAAGTTGGAGAAATTGCATCCTAGACCCGTAATATCAGTTTTTGGACGCTCTATTTAAATCGTCACAAACATTTGTTAAAAGGCAGTTTTTTCACAAGCACAATCAAGTATTCGAAAAGGTTACCCTGAGAAAGTATCAGGCAATTTTGGTGTTGGGAGCGATCAATAAAAGCTGAGTGCAAGAAGAAGCACTCCAAAATGAAATTGAAAAATTTCGGTCTTAGAGTATTTCCAGTAGCGTATTTCCCATTGATTCTTTATTAGGCAGAAAAACATTTGATGTTCGAAAACGGTGGTGACTGCCCTTTCAGGAAGCTCGGCTAACACAACTGCTGCAACGGTTCAATAATGTGGCTGACCAAGTATGCAGGTACAGACAGAACCTAGGGAAAGGCCTAATAGGAATGAGCCAACTACAGTGGAACATAGAAAGATAGTAAGCGCCTGTGTTTTTTGGCAAGGACAATGTTCATCCAAGACATACTTGACCGTTCGGGTACTGAAGTGAACACAACTTGAATTTGTTGAAAGAATCTATCAACCAAAATTTACCAGTACAAACTTGTCGATAAGACTCACTCGTATCCACACATGACGATCAACGTCATAAATTTTATATGGAACCAAGTCAGTATAATATCCCAACAAAAGACAATCGCTGGAGAGAAATCTCTAAGTTTCGTTTTGGGACTGATTCACTATACCAAACTATGAGAAGGAAAAACCGCACTACAATCAAGTCCAACAATGAACGGAAAGCCCGAAGAGAAACCAAAAGGAAGCACTAACAAATGACAAAAATGGGTGTATAAAACCAAAAGCCACAATGAACTCAGCGACCAAAAAAATCAAAAATCGCGGAATAGATTTATCACGCGAATCCTCAGGGTAGATAAAATCACACCATAACGCAACAGAAAGATAGAACAGGTCGAGAAACCAAAAAATACAGTCGACACAGTAAAAAGGGACCAAATGGCCAGTCAGGTGTTACGAAGATGGAGTGAACTGCATGAGGCAGGGGAGACCAACAGGAAAAT